GGGAAAGCATTGCTTAAGAACCTTCTCTTGGTACCCATGCATGGTAAGTAATATTTTACCTTTTTTTCTGAACAAAAAATGAAATAAAAATATTTTTAATTAGGGACCTTTAAAATACCTTCCATTTGATACCCATATTATGATGTTTTAATTAATTTGTATCTAATTTCGAATAGGTGGCAACCTTATACGAGTCTTCTCGGAGATAGTGCCTATTCAGATATCCTTAAAATCCAAAACATTATCTGTGTACAAAATTTCATCAAAATCCGTTTCCGAGAACCCTATGGGTATATATGTATATGTACAAGAATTGCTCGTTTCACGTAATAAGATAAAAATATGCCACTGGAAATCGTGTACGTGATTGTTGGACCAAAATGTTTAAATAAAAAAATATATATATATTTGTCAATGTTATTGTGGCTTATTAACATTTTATTTTTATTTTGTTACTTTTTCAATTTTTCCTAATAAACAATCGTGGTACAAAGCTCAAAAAATAATAATTTTGCGCGGGAAGAAGTTCGTCGGGTCTGCTAGTAGTACATATTTTACAACACCATAAATCTCGCCCGAAAATGATTTGAGTGTTTTCACTAAAAATCGTCTTTGAGTGCACAAAGGTAAAATGGGTGGATTTTCAGTACACCAGTCACAATCATTTAAAAAATAATTACAAAGGACTTAGATTTTGTAAGGTATTTTTTGAAAGGAATTTTATACATTATTCTACTGTTGTATTAACTCCGACGACATAGTTATAATTCACATTTGATCACATTATTGAGTCAAATGTCCCACCACTTACAATAAAATGACCCATAATGAAATATTAACTTTGCTTTATATGAATATTTTAAAAACAAAAATGAATAAAAAATAGTCATTAAATTCATTTCCACGTCAAGGACGTTCCAACAAATGAACCAAACGGGAACAAAATGTTTGAGAACGTTTCCGTCAATAACAAAATGCGAGCGAAATTCTCGCGAACGTTCCCAAGAAGTACAGAGTGAGAACGAAACTTTCGGGAACGTTTCCAGTGAGAAAAAAATGATAACGAAAATATCGAAAACGTTTTCGAGGAGCATCAAATAAGAAAAAAGTCTGATAGAGAACAAAAATTTTTGAGAACTTAACTAACTTAATGAGAGGCGACTCTGCGTGTTGTGACTAAAAGTCGTTTAAATAAGAACCACGATTTTTAATTCTAAGCCAGAGGAAGTCTGAATCATTTCAACTTCCAGCTCATCTATCATTAGGGTGAACTGACCATTTACGGAGCAATTTTTCATTTTTTGTAAAAAAAAAAAAAAAAAAAAAAAAAAAAAAAAAAAAAAAAAAATGGGTGGCCTAATGCCAATCAGTGGANAAATTTGCATAGTGATCTTCCAGTTATTTTTTCATTAATTTTAATGTTCAAACATTTCAAACTAATGAACGCTATGTGAAAAATTTTTTCTTTTCGCTTTCATTTTTCGCGAATAGTTCAGAGAAGATTTGTTCCCGTTTCGTTGTCTGTCAGAAAGTTCCTGACATTTTAGTTCCCAAATTGTGCTTCGAGAGAAAGTTCCTTGGGCTTTTGTTCCCTTTTAGTTCTCTTAGAAATGTTCCCAAGTTGTTTGCATTTTGTTCTCTTTGGAAACTTATATAACTCCCATTGAGAACGTTATTGATAGTTTTGTTTTCATTTTGGGTTTGATTTTGAAGCGTTTTTGGGATCAAAACTACGAACACAACATTTAATTTCGGTCATACTTTGCGTTCTCGGTGCCTGTTTTAACTATTTTCTTCTTTAAAAAAATATATAAAAAAAAAATATATATTATGAATTATTTAGGTTAACGAGAAAATAGTGAAGCAAAACCAGTAAACTTTATCTCCCAAAATTACAAATTTTTTGAAAATTTAAAATAGAATTAAAGAGAGGAAACGAACTAAAAAATTTCGTAGTGCTTATAAGCGGGTAATGCTTACAATCGGGGTGTTTATGATCCAGAAACACTGGACACCTATTCATTACGCCAATTTATGTATGTAAACACATTTATACGCATACCAATTACATATGTATGTACATACATATATGTACTTATATGAAGTTATACAATATGTACTATATACATACATACCAATATTCTAGTAAGAGATCATTTTTAAGCTGTTTTCAATGACATAAGTAATCTCAAATATGTGAGGAAGTGAATACATAAACACAAAAAACAAACATAAACACATACATACATATGCATACATATTCATATGCGCGCATTCATTGTTAATGAGGTTTTGATTAGTTTTGTAATTGTTCAATAAAAATACGTGAATGAGTTGATATGAAAAACAGCAACGAACATATGTATGTATGTATATACATATGTACATAAGCTTGACAGCAATAAATCTCAGAGATCATTATCTTTTCAGTTGCTTAATTGAAGAAACGAATGCTCATCGTATTACTTTTTCGCTAACTAAAAGCGCAAGAAGCAACTAAATAAATACATATTTACATATGTATGTATGTATGTAAACACATTTTTAGATGCATACATACATATGTGCCATAAAAAACAAATTTTGTACATAGCTGTGAGTGTACTGTGTCACTATGTATGTAAATATGTACATACATACATTTGTAAATAAATTATTTGCCCCATTTCGGCACTTTTGTAGAATTAAGCGCATTTTAAATAAAAAAAGGCAAACAAAAATATAAAAACCAATTTTTTGTTTCATAAAAAAAGTGTCGCTTGCTGCAAAATAAAGCAACTTTGTAATAAATTGTCTGACATCAATTAGCTCGGGAGCTTAACAGCCTGTATCTTTCAAACTCAATGACGAACTTAAATATTTGCACAAGCGCCAATAAATTTTCCCTGAGCGACATCATTTTCATCATGTCATTTTCAATTTTCTAAAAAAACACAAATGTTAACGGAGAAGTCTTCAAATTTGGTAAAAAAAAAAACAAGCAGTGTACGCACGGATCTGAGATTTATCGCCGTAATTAAGCAATTTAATGAAGTCAACTTGTCTCCAACTGTTTAGATATGTACATACATATTTAGCTAACATGAGAGGCGCTTAGATATTTTGGTGAGTGGTGCAGCTGAGAGGTCTAATAGCAGTAATTTAAATGGCAAATCGATTTTATGTTTGCATATTAATTGCCATTTTAATAAGATTCGTTTTTTTTTTTAGTTGCACACGAATTCGCGTCTGACGCACCTGTTGATTGCTGCCAAATGAAGTGAGACATTCCGCCCGAGCTGATGTATGCATTTTCATTTCAACAGTTGTAGTTCACCAACACTTCCAACACTTTGCCTCCCCACTCGCAGTTGCCAAGATTTTAATTAAACAAAAACAAAAAACTATAATATTTCAGCAATTAATTAAAAAAAAAAAAGAGAAAACAAAAATGCAAAAAATTGACTGCCCCGGGTGAGGCTCGAACTCACGACCTTAAGATTATGAGACTTACGCGCTGCCTACTGCGCCACCGAGGCTATGTCGACGTTCTGGCAAAGAGCACAATTGAAACGAGGGATGCGTTAGAATGTTCTCACTACTTTCTAAAAGTGTTGCCACTCAAATAATATTACATAAGGTTCTTGCCAGATATTTGTAATTATTATTGGAGTAAATTTGAGTGCTATCGAAAAAAAACACTTTAGCCGCATTCTATTGCAATCGAGTAACAAAATAAAAATCTAAATAAACAAGGCTGTTGTTGGACGATATTAAGAAAACTTAATTATGCAAATGTGCTATGGAAATGTACTTGGAACATTTTTTTCTCTTGAGTCAATTCTTATCTTGAAAAATCTCGAAGGATCCCGAAAGATAAAACACGAAATATTCACGCGGGTTCCGCAAAAATCAAAAAATGTCATGAAAAAAATTTTAAAGCTAGGGCGGAAATTATTCATTGTTTTTCAAAATATAATCAAAAAATCAACAAGCTGTAATTATTGTAAAACAATTCTAATATATTAATAATTCAAGTGGCTAAAGGTTGCCGTTGATTTTTTAGAATTTTTTTCGCCAAAGGTGTTGCGGTTTTCTTCCATATACAAATAAATTGAGTTTATTCATTATATGGAAGCCAATGCGTCAAAAAAAATTCTAAAAAATTAACGGTCATTCGTACCCATTTGAAATTTGCACATTATCAGCTAAAATTGCAGGGGCTATTCGATTTTCAGTCAATGCAAAAGTTGCTACTCGACTATTCGAATAATCGGTTAACCGGATAATCGACTGTATTCCTCCACGTTAATTTGGTAACCGGTAAACCGATAATAAATTAATTTTAAACAAACAAAATAATTGAAGAAAAAAAATAGTTTTCTTTTGAAGCACCTTCTTTATATATGCAATGGTTCTAGAATAAAATAGGAAAGTTATCAAGCATTCATTGGATATACAGTATGCTGGCAATAGTCCGTTATGGTCACCTGAATGATCTCTATCTGTCCCCATACATATTTTTTTAAATTTTAGAATTGGAGTTATTCTGCATTTGATCCAAATAATTTTGCTACTTTAATGTTTTCGATAACTCAAGCAAGCTTATCGATTTTTAGTACACTCAATATTAAAATCCGCCCATATGGCAGCACTCGCAGTCTTCTATTCTGAGTTTGACATTCGGTGCAGTGCTAGCTGTCAGTTTTTGCAAAAATATAAAACCAGCGCAAAGGTGAGCAGAAAATATTTATTAATTTAAACAAAAAGAAACAAGCGCCAGTGTTAAGAAGTTTAGCTTTTCGATTGTCAATCGTGGCTTCCATGTGAATAGCGCATTGTGCGAAGATATGTGAAATTTCTGTTGTTGCCTGTGCATTTTTTTCTATCAGATAGCTTGCCTCTGCCGCACATAGGAATTTGTACGTATGTGCGTTTGCTTGTGTGGCTGACCAGTGTTTTGTGTTTGTTGCACGGGCGTTCCATGTGCTCTGCCTCGCCCTTGTTTCCGCAACAGTCTTTGTATATTTGTTGGTGTGTTTACGCGTTTAAGATAATTCTGATAAGCGTTTTGAGTTCTTTTAGTTTTTGGAAAAATTAAGATGTGATTGAAAGATAAGAAAATTCGCCAAATAAGTGCTGGGTAAATATGTAAATGAAAATTACAGGACAAAGTGTAGAGCGTAGAATCGAAGAAAATTTGGGCTTTTCCTAACAAAACTGGTAGGTTCACTTCTATTTGGTGGGTTGGTAGGCTAGATTAGATTTTGGTAGGTTCCGCGACACTAATAGTTATTTGCGAAAAATAGAAAATATATATCCGCCAACATTTTAACAACCTTGTTTACACGAATATATATTGGTGCGCTGAAACGGGACTTGTAGATAAACCCACTGAATTCCACCATTGTCCCATTTACCAAAAGAAGGAAAGTCTACTTGACTGGACTGTACTTGGCAGGGACAGAAATTGATTTCTCAGCAGAGTTAAAGTATCTAGGGTGGCTCTGGACAAAAGGCTCAATTAAAAATTACATTTCTCGAATGCTAACAACAAAACTACAAGTGTGTTTTATGCATGTCAGAGATTTCATGGTAGGACTTTGGGAATATCACCCGATCTAATGTATTGGTATTTCAATACGGATGTCAGCTTGAACAGCCGCACGGACTGGTCCGCGAAGCCATCACAGGAGCTACGCGTACCTGACCAACGGATGCCCTTCTTCCTTGTCTATTCTGAATGAGAAAGAGGCCTGCTGGAGTGCCCCACGGCAATTCAATACAATCAGAATGAAAAGTAGAGATTATTATTATTATTGTAGCAGCATACAAATTCCCCAAAGACTATTTGGGGAGTGTTGCTGGAGTGACAGTCCTTGGCCAGATATAAATCTGGGTCGTTCCGGTTACGTAGACCCGACTGTCGTGGGAACGAAAACAGTAGAGATCTTCGGGGTCGCTTGGAGGTTCTCAAGCTATTCCTGGATGATCCCGAGTTATCCTACTACAAACCCTACAAGGTCAGAATAACTAAAAGGAACTGCTGGGAAGCGATCATAACTATATACCGATGGATCGAGTATGGACGACGGAAGTACTTTGGCAGACGTACATGGACCAAGATACTAAGAAAGTCTCTGAATATACCAAGCGGAAATCTTCGCAATATAAGTCTGTGTTCGCGAGTTTCTTCGGCCATCATAAATATTATGCCGGATAGACAAGCAGGTTTAAAGGCCTTACATTCTTTTAAACAGCATTAAGGCTTGTGGACAGCTGTAAAACTCTTTTTAACCACAATAGCGTAACGATGTGGTGGGTTCCTGTCTCTCAAAGCATGCAGCCCAAATGCGCTTGTATAGTCCGGAGCCTTCGGTCGGCTGGTGGAGGAAACCCTACGTACCACGAACAGCAGACTGATGCAAACCAGTGGACCCGTTAGCTTAAGGACAGACCCTGTCGAAGTCGCGCATTTCCTGGGCCTCCCCTTAGCTGAAACTGATGACAATGTTGACGGATGAACCGACCCGAACGATTGTCTTGTCCATCCAAAATTTGGAACATAAATATTCTTAGAAGTATTTTGGAATGAATTTCCGTTATCCCTTGTCAAATTTGGTTTGGAGACAAACCGGTTTCGGCGTTGTGCCATCTTCAGTGTATTTTTTCTTCGGAAACAACAATAACAAAAAAGGAAAGATATTCTTTGGTCGCAGCGGGAGTGTCCCTGACACTAAGCTAATTTGTTTTTATTTTACTAGCTCTGGTTTAGTTTAACTAAATGTTATGTTATCTACATTTTTAATAAACTTGGCATTGAAAAAGATATTAAAAACTCGAACAAAATTTTTGGTAGGGTTTGGTTGGTTTTGGTAGGAAAAAAAAATTGTCCGTGGCAACACTGAATGTAAGTGCGAATAAAATATTCTGCTCCCAAGTATGAAACTTTTGGTGCTGTAAAGCCTTTAAGCTTCTTTATTTGAAAATAAACCTGCTCGTTTTAAAAGCTATACAGCAATTTTTACGCTGGCAAAAAATTAGCTATGAAAAATTGAAAGAATAAAAAAGTGTCATATGTATGAACTTGGTTTAATTATAATAGTACCAGACCATCATAAAGGTTATTCAACCATTCGCTTTAATCTGTCGATACTACTTAAGTCGAAGATATGACATACAAATTTTGGTCCCGATTGGAGTAAAAAATTTATATGTGATATCTTCGAATATAGTAGTATCGATTTTGAGTATTAGATGAAAAAAAAATTAATTTTTATTTCTTGAGATTCCATAGAGGAATCTGAACTTTTATGATTTTGCTACTAAATATTTGTATTGTCATTAAGAAGCGTTCTCCAGGCCAAAATATTTAAACTGGGCTCCTTAAAGCCATCTAAATTTTAGCTGACTATTGGGGCGATTTTATAAAATTTTTCAGTTACACAACTTCCGTAAGTTCATAAAACTGCGTTATCATACGCAGACTCCAATTTGAAAGCTCTGCTGTATACTTACATATGTAAAATTTAGACACATACATATGTGCATGCATATGCCCATATACATATATGTACATACATATATATACATAGGTACCATGATTTTTGTGGGTGACAATAAAGTTTACATTGAGTGCCGTCTGCTCTGAGTGCTCAGACTGATAAGCTCTATAATGCTGTTTTGCAAAGTACCTTGATCCCTGCCAGCCAATAATTATAGCTGCTTATATAGTATCATTCATATATGTATCATTGTCATCTGCATCGACATTTTTGTGAAAAATACCAGCTTTGGCGTCAGCTTAGGGAGTACGGCTTATCGAATTATTGGGTTGTTGAATGTTTTACCTAAGTTTGTGTGCATTGTACATAGGTACATACATACATATGTACATACTAAGTATGAATGCCTGCGTAAGAAATCCACATAAGACTATACCAAAAAATTTCCAATTATGTACGTATGGGAAATACTATTCAATATATACATATGTACATATATCGCGCGATTAATAATATAGAGAAGTAATTCAAAATTTACGTTTTTGGATATTTCATCATCATACAATTAATAAGCTTGATAAGGAGAATATGTACCGGTTTTCATCGTGCTTGATGGGTACATATTAAAAAAATTTTACGACTGCTTTTGGAGTGGTCCCATTATCGCACAGTGTGACAAACTTTTTAGGTGCATATCGGCCAAATTAAATATATGACGAACTTTGAAATATTACAGCTAAACGACCAAACACGTAAACTTAATTTTGACCTCTAGATTATGATACCGTTTTCAGAAAAATCCGTATCACGTCAAAATTTTGAGATATTTAAGAGGTAAGTTTTAGTGCTCTGAAAATAATTTTTTTTTCTGAACAAAGGTTTCGATAGTTGATCTTACTTGACTGGGACCTTTTAAATTTAATGGCGTCTCCCGGGTTTGTAAGATTGGCTCCAGTTTTCGATATAACGGTACTTGAAAATTTGCTTAAACTTTATTCTTTTGGTTAACAATTATGTTTTAAAGTTAGTTTACTAAAATTTTACATGTGACTGTTTTTAGATATTAGCATAACTACTTTTGAAAATCGTCGAAATTGGTTCATTGTAACACATACTAGCTCCCATACATTTGATTTCTCAGATCCGTGGTTTTGCATTATAACTCATATTTAATTTCGTAATATTTTTTAATTTTATGGGGTTGTACACTATTTGGACCTGAACTTGGGTTCTTTTCAATCCCATTCTGGCATATTTTTGCGTATTTTGAAATTTCCGAATGGGTTTTTAAGACCTTTTTTGAGCTGTGAAGCTGTTGCTGAAGTCAAAGTGACTGTGTAATGTCTTCCAATAGGCGGCGGCCTATACCGCGTCATATTTGGCCTGTGCACAGTGTCATAATCGACGAAAATTTCACTTTCACAGCTCTACAAGTTCCCTCCTAAATATTTCAAAATTTTGACGTGATATAGATTTTCTGGAAACGGCATCTTAATCTAGAGGCCAAAATTAAGTTTACGTGTTTGGCCGTTTAGCTATGATATGTTTGCCTCCCTATTGTGTTGTGTTATCGTCGGTACAGCAATATTACTCTTGGTTGCTATAGTCAGCACAATTTCGGCTCAGATTGTCGCATTTCGAAAAATGAAACGAAAATCGGCCCATTGCGCCGATAACGAGATCTTAGCTTGACAGATCACTCAACATGATGAGGGCCAGATAATCCCCTGTCCCTATGTTGTTGTTGTTGTTGTAGCGGCTACAACAGAGCTTGCGTTTCCTTGTTGGATACTGATTATCTCTTCATATGCTCATTTCTCATGTTGTTGTTGTAACAGGATACAAATTTCCAAAGGGTTTTTGGAGAATGATGCTGGAGTGACAGTCCTCGGACAGATATAAATCTGGATCGTTCCGCTTACGTAGACCCGACTGTAGTGTGTCACTTCTCATCTCATACCCTGCTTTACAGTGAGATTGAAGGCAATATTTTATAAACTCACTAACAACACAAACAACAACCAGCTTTTTAATCGGACAGAAACCGTAACAAATATTTAAAACGACTTATTTATAGTTCAAAGTTATTCAAAGTTTCAAAGCGATTCTCGTTTAATTGTGTGTGTGATATTAATGATCCTCTTTTTTATTTAGTACGCATGTCCTTTTTTGTGTAACTTGCCATCTGGTAGAGTACTGGTGCGCGTTGTAATTTTTTACCATAAAACATATCTATTTCATACCTTTTAAAAACCTTTCATTTTTCTAAAACTTCAAACCTAGAAAATGAGGCTGGTCAATAGAAATTTCGATAAAGGCGCTCAGGGTTCTGTCACCCTGATACCAGAAGAACCTGAAGATATGTGGCATACCTACAATTTGATTGCCGAGGGCGATCAAGTGCGGAGCACAACCATACGAAAGGTGCAAAATGAATCAGCGACCGGTTCATCGACGAGTAGTCGTGTACGCACCACACTTACGATCAGCGTCGAGTCCATAGACTTTGATACACAAGCCTGCATGCTGCGCTTAAAGGGACGCAACATCGAGGAGAACCAATACGTTAAGATGGGTGCATATCACACGCTCGACTTGGAGTTGAATCGAAAATTTGAGATACGCAAAGCAGAATGGGATACAATAGCGCTGGAACGCATCGAAATGGCCTGCGACCCCACACAGTCGTCCGATTTGGCAGCGATTGTAATGCAGGAGGGTCTGGCCTATGTCTGTCTGATTACGGCTAGCATGACGCTGGTGCGTAGCAAAATTGAGGTGTCCATACCGCGCAAGCGCAAAGGTCACACACAACAGCATGAGAAAGGGTTGGTGAAGTTTTACGAGAGCGTCATGCAGGGCATACTGAGGCATGTGAATTTCGACATAGTTAAATGTGTGTTGATAGCATCGCCTGGATTCGTGCGGGATCAGTTCTACGAATACATGTACCAGCAGGCAGTGAAAAATGATATAAAATTGTTGTTGGATAACAAGAGCAAATTCATACTTGTGCGCTCATCCTCGGGTTTCAAACAATCCTTGAAAGAGGTGCTGCAGGATCCCAGCGTAATGGTGAAAATATCCGACACAAAAGCAGTTAGAGAAGTGAAAGTGCTAGAACAGTTCTATACTATACTACATTGTGAACCGGCGAGGGCATTCTATGGCAAAAAGCATGTGTTGGAGGCTGCCAAAGCGATGGCGATAGAAACTCTGCTGATTTCGGATAACCTCTTTCGATGTCAGGATGTGCAGCAGCGCAAGGAGTTTGTAAATCTGGTCGAATCCGTGCGCGAGGCGGGTGGTGAAGTGAAGATATTCTCCAGCATGCATATTTCAGGAGAACAATTGGCTAATCTTACCGGCATAGCAGCTATTTTGCGCTTCCCGATGCCGGAACTTGATGACAGCGGGGATGAGGATGATGATGATGATGACTCTGTCAACTCCGAATAATGACTTTTATGCATAGAATTAGATGAGCTTTTACATACACACCTACATATATGTTAAATAAATTAGTAATTAGTGAAACAATATTTAATCAAAACATTTAAGTTATTTTAATTAACAATAAACAAATTACCGACTAATGTAAAGTTTAGTAGATTTTATTTGTTAGTATTATTTTCGAGTGTTAATTAAAAATATTCATTTCAGATCATTTAGTATTTGGCGTAAGAAACGTGCAAAAGGCATGGGCCCGCATCATAGCGACTGATATTTTGAATGAAGCAGAATACAGTGTTGGACATTGACAAACAGCCACAATAAGTGTATTGGAGTTATTTTATTTTTTTTTAACGTAGTCGCCATACTCTAGACCAGAGGTGGGCAGCTTCGGCAGAGCACTTTTGTAGTGTGCGTGCAATTGATTTCACTTTCCGATAGTCCTATTTGCCATATTTACCTCATCATTCTGTTGGATAGAGGCTCCGGAACGTTTCCAATAACTTTTTTTGGCTTTGAGCCAGGGTTATTCACAATCGTAACTAGTGCGCGGACGATCAGAATCTTAACTTCATTTTATAAACACTTCTGTTATGGATTTGATAGGCTGGGCGTAAAGTTTCTTTTATGTAATAAATATTCTAGAACTTCATTCTTGCAATAGTTTTGAATTTAACCACAAACCTGTCTTTCTTTAACCGCCCTGTGAATCAAATTCTTCATTCAAACAGGGCGAAGATTGGTCGGATTTTGGCCGGTGATGATACCCCAATCTTGGGGACTTATGTATGTATTTTGCAGACGATTCGAGGACGAGTAGGATTCTTCTTACTAAATGGCAACCACACCAATCCTTATAGGTGGCTCCAAACCTCTAGTATGTTTTTTTTTGTTCCTCATAAATGCTCATATTTTGCACGCTACTAAAGAAGTGCACTTTTAGAACTTTTAACAAAAGCTTTGTTTCCAGTTCTCACTCTCTTACTACGCTCTTACCGGCTCCCATTTGCTTATTATTGCAATTTTCTGCAAGTATTTATTATTAGTTGCCATACACCACCACCACCACCACTTTGGTTAAGCAACTTTTGCACAAACGTTTGCTGCTCGACACTCCGCCTCGTTTGTGATTCGAGTCGGATGCATTGCGCATAGAATTCTCGTGGCATCATCGTGGCTGCGCAGCGCACTCAAAGTCAAAGGTTGTTGAACTGTGTCACAACATGGAGGCGAGTTTCAATGCCATGTCGGCTTTATACAAATACATATGTGCACAAGTAAATACATACTTGGCAATTTTGTGCATAGAATTGGTTTTCATCGTTGCACAGACTTTCGAGGAGTCCCCGGTGGTGTATTGTGCTCCGGTGCGATGGAATGGAATGAAGTGCCTTGGCCACAAAAGCGCTATGCATGAGTCGTATTTGTACATATATGTACTTATGTATATGAGCATATATTTTTATACAAATTCATACATATGGTAAAAAATGTTCGACTGCATCAACCAAGCCGACAAGTACCAATGTATGTATGAATTTGTATATAAATATAGGCCTATATAAGTACATACATACATATGTATATACGACTCATACATAGCATGCATATTAGGGTACCCCATAAATACATTTTTTTTTGAAATGTTAAGCGCCCTAGTTGCAGAAAGTTTGAAAATCCGCCTTAAAAAATGCCAATGTGGGAAAGCCGTGTAGTATATTCTGGAGAGAGTTTTTAGATACAACTTTGAAGACAAATAGTAGCATATTTAAAGCGGACTTTGAAACCTTGGATATCGACCAAATTGAAATTTCTTTTTTGCACTTTAATTAGAATGTCGAATATCAACTTTCTGCAACTAGGGCGCTTCACATTTCAAAAAAAGTGTATTTATGGGGTACCCACCCTAATGTATATCATATACATAGATTGTTGTACTAATTATGTTTCTATATACATACATACGTAATATGCATATGTACATATATGTACTTACATACTTTATTTTTGTGATGACAAAAAACGCTTCGTTATTGAGGGGTGGATGGATAAAGCCGATGGAAAGAAACTAAAGAAGCCACTCGAATAAGCGATATTCCAAGAAACCTACTTAAGTAATGGTTGCATTGTGGGTAAATTACATACATATCTTCGGCATGTGGAACAGTAGAAAAACGCTGCGCATAAGTTGTCTGCAAAACAAGGAACTCGACAATATTTAGGTCGTTTTCTAGATATAGTAGCCGTCATCGATTCGCTAACAGTTAGCGAGTGGCGAAACGAACGAACTTAATGAGGTACAACATACAACTTATTGTTGCGGTCACATGTAAAATTTTTTGTTAAGCGACCGGAAATCAAAAGGATGGTTTCGTGCGCAGAAGTCCACGTAATTGGAGAAAGCTTTTTACTGTCATTCAGCAGTGATTCTTTTGCGTGCGGTTCAAGCAGCTCACGTATCCACGGAAGTTGAGAAGGCGAAAAACTTCGCGAGCGCTGGGGTTGGATTGACGACCGCAGTGAACGTTTAAAGAAGTCCAGACTCTTAATAGGAAGGTTCCTCTGCCCGGCTGGTTGATGTCCTCGTGAAGGCAAAGGGCTGGTTTCACCGCCATTCAAGAAATGCGATGGACGGGACAAGGAAAGTAGCGCGAAGGGCCTTGCGACCGCTATTACAGCTGCCACATAAAGGAGAGAGGTAGAGAGAGAGAGCGCGACAACCCGCATTAAATCGAGATTCTTCAACATCTCGCTCATTTCCGCTCACGCCTCGAAGGAAGAAAAGAACAAAGCATCCATGCATCGTCGCGACTGTCAAAATCGTGCTTGGCGATTCAACGCCCAGTTGGATAAGGAACAGATCTTTGGCCCCACCGTCGGAAAATACAGCCTCCACGGCGAAACGTCTGATGACAGACTGAGGCATAAAAAGTTCTATCAAGGTACCTCGATGTCTCCAGATCGAACAACGAGAAACCAAATCGTTAATGTTTTGATAAAAGGAAGAAACGCTTGCAGTGCAGCCGTATTTCAGGGACCCTGAAAGAACAACTGGTACGATGAGGAATGCCAAGCTGTGATCGAGCGCAAGGCGAGCTATGTGGGAAGGATATAGGGAGCTGAAAATAGAAGCGAGACATATTTGCCCCAATAAGAAGATAGACAAGAAAATATGGGACTGTGAAGAGCTTAAAATGCTGGCCGACAGGAAAATGTCCGAAAATTTTACCAGAGAGTTAGGCGACTTACGGAAGGTTCTAAGATCAGGGCGAGCTCTGTAAGAAAAACCATGGCGACCTAGTGACCTATGTTAAGAACGTACTTAAATTATGGAGGTGCAGACTTTTCCACCCTATTCAATGACAGCAGCATTGAACGAAAGTAATGGAGTCTGTTGAAACTTATACCGATAGTTCAACTTTCTTTATCCCTACAAAGCTGGTGAAAAAGTGATATCTTCAATGCTTGTGTCGCTTTGATCGTAGACCTAGACATCTTCTTCATGCCTCAGTTTCCTCAGTGAGCACTTGTTAACCGACAACGGTCGGAGCCTTTCTGCCCTTAGTCTGAAGGTTAACGCTGGTATAAAGAAAGTTACATACTTGAGAAAACGGCTCTAAAACTGTTATGCCATACGAATAAACAGATATGTACGTATCGTTACCTTAATTCATAGAGGCCCTAACCAAAACTTTTTTCGAAACTGAGTTTTTCGCAGATTTTGGTAGAATACAACTTCAATAAAAATTTTAAAGTCTTACTTAGTACCAAAAACAACATGCCCCTTTAAACAAGCCCTACCTGTTTTTGATATTCTTTTTGTTATGTTTTTTGCTTCTCTTGTAAAATTACAAATTTGTTGGTTAGGGCCTTTGTGACTTAAGTTAGCGATATAATCTAAAGGCCACGTGAATAGAGTCCAATGCCGGCTCCTTTCTTCACCTTAAGGCATTATTAAGGCACCTTAATAATAAGAATATATATTTAGTTACAAGCTGACAAATTTGAACGTTGTTTATGCTACGAAGTGCACTACCGACAACAAAATTTAATTTTTATATTCTCGTTAATGCAACGGGAGCACCAAACTTCATTCTATGCCCGCCCCAATGAAATAGGATTATAAATAGTAGTGATACATCATTTACGGTGACCATCCGTTCTGTATTGTAAGGGGCAGTACTCTTTTTCTTCGTCAATTGTCCTGTTAATTTATTTATTTCATACGGGACGAAAAATGTTCTGTATTTCTTTTAGTGTCTCGTATTTACTCCGTATTCGGTATTTTGACGCCCTAAGCGGTCATAAAAATGACATGCCTATGAACCAATTTTTATTTTTAAATTTGGACGCTTGTGATTCGAATCGAGGAGCACATATGTACATAGATGGTTTCTCAAGTTACATTTTTGTGTAGAAAAAGTGGATATTTGTAAACTATAGCAAAGTAGCAAAAGGTGATAGAATCTTCTACTTACGCCTAAATTAAAGATAGAACTCTCGACTAATATCTCTGAAAAGACCATCCCTGCACCTTGACTTAATGGTCACTTATAGTAATTTATTTAACAGCAAAAACTGATTTTGGTGAAGTTTGAGTCCCTACCGCAATTAAACATAAGGTGATAGAACCTTCCACTTAGGCTTTAATTAAGCTTTGAACTTTCGACTACAATCCCTGAAAAAATCTATGCCTGCATATTGACCTTAAGGTCTTTTATAGCCATTTATTTAACAGCAAAACCTGATCTTGGCACAATTTTTTGTCATCAATAGCACAATTTTCCAGTATTCCAGGCTAGCAGAAAATACTAAAAGACAGGGAAGTCTACCACTGTTATTGAAGAAAGGAAACAAAGAAGAAAAAGAGCCAGACAAAGAGTTGATTAAAAAAATTCTTAAGCAGGGATCACACGATTTCTACATTTGTTGAAATTTCTGCATTTTGACAGTTGCAGAGTATGGTGTAAGGAAATTTTCTAATTGAGCTGAATTCATTCTCGCTACAAATTTCTAGACAACACCACTCTGTGGTCGATCAAACTAGATAATCGTTGTATTAAGACCTAAAAAAATGTCAAACTTTGTTTTATGTACACAACAACAAAATACACATAGCTTTCGGTTTTTTCTCTGGCGCTATTACCAGTCCAATGTGCCTTGGTGTGATGCCATGCACAATGCAGTGAGTGGCTTGACCGAAATCCGAGTCTGAAAATAATCCTTTGAATACCACACGTGCTTCAAAAGTAGTCCGATATTTTCATAACGTTTCCATGCCTAGGAATGTTCTTAACAAATTTTGCGGGGTAAAAATCCCAAGCACAAAGTACAAGGTTATCTAAAAATATTCTACAATCGTGTTATGTTTCTACTGAATATTTATTTGCTGCTTTCATAAAAGATCGAAAATATATGTGTATATGTATGCCAAACAAAGGGCTAATAAATCTAGGATCGTTGAGAAAGGTTTTAAAATTCTCTAGCTTTTGTGGAAATAATTGCCAAAATAATTTTTTGCTCCGCATGCGACAGCCATAAATATGGTCACCGTACCTGCAAACGGCCATATATACATATTTACATATATTTACATATGTGCATGATTACATACAATGGCACATATATACATATGTACATACGTATTTCTACACAAGCTATATTTATGAAACTAAACGCTTTGCAAATAAATACGAGTACGAAAGCGCTTTTATGCTTTTGCATATACGATACTCTCTCTTACCCACCGGCAAGTGGCTTGGCCATTAATGGAGGCATTGATGGCCGCCGAGTGTGAGGAACTTTAATGAAGTTGTGGAGAACATACTCGTATAGGCATTTAGGTAAATTGTAAATACATACATACATACGTATGTATGCTATACAGGAAACTTTTCGCGGGCAAGAACTTTCGACAAGTCGCTTTCGTTCAGCGCTACTACTCTATGTACCGTAAAAGTTTGAGCAAAACAGCACATAATTCGCCATAGGGGCTAGCAGGGATGC